TAAAGAGGAATATATCAAGGGGGGAACGGGGAGATTCCGTTAAGACAAATTTCCGTTTTATACAGGTAAATAAAGAGGAATATATCAAGGGGGGAACGGGGAGATTCCGTTAAGACAAATTTCCGTTTTATACAGGTAAATAAAGAGGAATATATCAAGGGGGGAACGGGGAGATTCCGTTAAGACAGATTTCCGTTTTCTACAGGTTTCCGTGAAGGAAGGTTCGACTGATAAAGATAAAGCTAGGTATAGGGAGGGAACCTGTTGGCGACACTTTTAGAGCTATTTATGAATAGAGCTATACATTTAGTGATTTAGCTGTGAAAATAGGAAAACAACCACGATCAACCAAGTTTCTACAAAACAGAATGTTGGGAAAATAAACATTTCACGGAAGGAAGGTCTGGTCGCACAAAAATACTCGATCTTGAGTATTTGGTATCGATATCTCTCCAACTCTCCCGCCAAACACAATCGGCTACGATCTGTGACGCTGGCCGACAAAAAGAGGACGAGTGAGTTGGACTGAGTTCTGAGCACGCAGCATTTATTCTGCTGTGTTGGCCTTCAAGACTAGAATCTAGGCTTATACGTGGAGGAAAAAAAACGTATTTCCTCTTCGTTCTGTTTGGTTTGAATCAAGAATCTAGTTAAAATAAATTACAAAGACAGGACGATTATCCTCAAGGCAACGGAGCCGCGTGCACTGACTGAGACTGAAGTACTAAAAGTTCCAGTCAAATTCATTGCCAATCGAGTGAGAGGTAAGTCAGTGCAAAACCAGCTGGACCGAGCGAAGTGAAGGAAATGGAATTCATGCCACCTTATTTTATATATTTATTCGTCGCAGTCAAAGATACCCAGAAAAACTGACTTTAGATATCTAAGATATCTTTTTATTTGTGATGGCGATGGAATGGGGCTGGGCACAAAATCTGAAAGGCCACCTCTGTGAGAATAGTGCAGGCGAGTCCTGTGGCTATTCTCACCCGGTGCGCGTTCACCCTAAACCACAGAATTCTACACTGGGATAACAGAAAAGAAAGTGGCTATTCTCACCCGCCCGGAAGTTCTCGCAAGATCAACTCCTCCCCTCTTCTCTCT